TATATATATATATATATATATATATATATATATATATATACTAGTCCGGTTGCCTGGCTAACGCCGGGCTTCCCTCCTTCTTATGATGAAGTGGGGATAAGCGGCAAACAGCTCGCTCCTTTTTTGGAACAAATGATCGGAACACGAAATTCGATAGACGAACAAAAGGGAAGCAAATGATATTAAAATGATGCCTACGCCATTCATTAAAGTTAGTACGAACGATAATGTCATGACAAAGTATCAAAACATAAAGGGGGAACAATCAAAGGAGTAGTTCAACTTCCGTTTCGCACGTGTCATAGTCTGCCTTGAAGTCCCGACCTGTCGCTGCTCGCTTTGGAAATAACGTACCATTGAGGGTTCAACTGGTAGGCAACCAAAGCCTTCAATGGTACTCACAAATGTTGTCGAGTCATGATATAATTATACCATTATCAAATGTCTTTATGAATGTAGCTCCTTTTCTCTACGGATTCATCATTAAATGAGAATCCAAGATTATTAGCGGTCGGATAAATTTTGCCATGAATGATATCTGAACAGAGAGAAACCGTGATCTTTCATTGAATCGCATACCTTGCTGAGTAGCGGTCGTAATCCAGTAGGAAGAACTATACCACATTCCATCCCCTCATAATCGATCCTTATCTCTGCACTTACCCTTCTTTCCGAATGAAACATATCAAAGAGTCAAAGCTAGACCGCAAATGACGAAGACGCTAGAATTTAATTGGTGAGTAGATCTTGTTCTCTAGAGATTCTTCTATCGTCAGTGTTCCCATCCTGCCTTATCTACTCCTCCTGTTTTGCGCTCCAATTCCACGGAATCAGCAGTTATGGGTTTTCGCTGAGACATTTACTTCGAGGAGCCCCTTGTAAGCGGAGCCCGGCCCTACTACCCTCATCGGTATTCCCATCCTGCCTCCTCTACTTCTGCCAAAAACGAACGCCCTAAGCCACGGAACAGGAGTTATGAATTTCCACCCGGACACACACACCGACACACGCACACCTTATACCCTTACCATGATGTCCGCTCTTCAAGGGTGATTCCGCCAACCTTGCAGGACGCATCTATGCCCTTTATTTCGGTTTCTGCCACTTGCTGCTTCCTGAAAGGATCACCCCACCTAGCTAGAGGTCTTCCTCACAGTCCTTTTGCTTCGCGGGGGGACCAGTTGGTCACGTGGACGTCCAACGGTTGCCATCCAAACGAGCTACATGTCCTGTCCATCGTTTTTTCGAGTCGTAGATGTTTTCAATCACATCTTTGACGCAGGTTCGCCTTCGACTTTCGCGAGCAGTAATTTTATGCATCAACGTGACACAGCACATCGCTCGTTCCATTGCCATTTGAGTGAATGTCAGTCTTCCTTCTTCATTTATGATTGTACTGCATGTTTCACTTCCATACATCGGTGCCGGCAGGACATGGGCGTTAAACACACGGGCTCTGATTTGAGCACTAATTCTTTTGTCGGTGAGAATATCGCGATACGTGTTGAATGTCGCCCAGCTCGCCTTACGACGACGACGTATTTTGATTGCCAAATCGTTGTCCATTGTGACTGCTTGGCCTAAGTGAACGTATGACGGAACTTCTTCCATGATTGAGTCTTCCATGCGTGAACAGTGAGTAACTGTTTTTCATCCACCTTGTTTTTCCTGGATGAATGTCGAAACCGATAGAGCTATCAGCGTTTTTTGGATCCTTAATGGGTTTTCAAGAGCTCCCGGTTCGCTTCCAATAGGTACAATGTCATCTGCAAACATTGGGTATTGAAGCCTTTCACCGCCTATGTCGATTCCGCAGGGCATATGAGCGTTTTGCATCACAAGTCCAGAGCAGCAGAGAAGAGCATCAGGGAGATAACCTCGTCTTTGCCGAACTCCGCGTCGTATTTGGATACGGATCGGGTTTCCATGAAGATTTACGTCGGTGAAGCAGCTGGTATTACACTGCCGTATCATTTCGACGTATCTTCGGGGAACTCCAAAAGCTGGGAGGGTGTTTAGCACTGCTTGATGTTCAATTGTATCGGATGCCATCTTGAAGTCAATGAAGAGATAGTATAAAGCAATTCGGTGTTCTCAACATCTTTCCATCAACTGAGAAATCACGTGGATTTGGTCGATAGTAGAAAAACCTTCGCGGAAGCCGGCCTGCTCTTTGCACGTATTCATATTCAGAATTTGACGAATACGATTCAGGATTATGCGTGAGAAGACCTTGAGCATTGTTGAGAGAGGCGCAATCGGGCGGTAATTAGCAAGGACGTCGTGCGCTCGTTTCTTGTGTATAAGGGCAGTGTTGGAGCTCAGCCAGTCTTTCAGAACAATTCCTGAGGCAAGCACTTCTGTGAATAGGTCAGCTAAAGGCTTCGCAAGATCTTCTTGCAGACACTTCAAATGTTCTGGCCGTGTTTTTCGAGGTGTTATTCCGCTTTTCGCTTGACGTAAGGCCTGCATCACTTCTGATTCGAGGACTCTCCATTCTTCTTTGTCACTTTCTGACGGCCCCGAATACGCCTCTACGTGTAATTTGTGGAAAAAAACAAGTCTCGGAAAAAGATCCGAATTTCCTCTTCTATATATTTGCGAATTCGCAAAACAACGCCATACGCCTTTGTCAGGCATCCAGGAGTGGTGGTCCTCAAGTGAGTACCTATAAATAATCTTTTGACGCTCGTCGCTTTCTCGGCCTCTTCTCTTGCTCTACGTGCGGCATATTCACGGTAGTCATT